ATTCTATTTATATAAAAAATACATTGGAAAGTCAATTTAGGAGGCACTCCACTCTAAAAAGTCTGGGAACCACTGATGTAGAACATTCTGTCCTGTGCAACAAGTGATTTATTTAATATTTTCAGGTACAGCGGTTAGTTTGAAATAAAAGTTTGTTTAACAGTGGAAATTGAGTCTCCCATTATTTAAACATTATTCAAAACATTAATGGTGAACATTTTCGACTTTATAAAATGATTCTCTCAAGTCTTGGCGATTAAACAATAAAGAAAGTAAGACATCTTTTTCTTATACATAGTTTAGTAGCCTACTATTCTTTTTGGCAGAATTGATCATTAATCAACTTAATTATTTCCTGGATTTTGTATCACCATAGTCCCTAAATGTATGTACATGCAGGAGATGGGATTCAAATTGGATTCCGAAAACATTTTCCCCCATTTTGTGTCCACCCCCACTTCTCAAACCAAAGTTACACCCTCGGGTGCAACAATCTGTAATATCATGTATCTTGCCTAGTAGATTTTTTATCTTGAGCATAAAGTATGGTGACAAAATGAACCTTAACAATTCGTAATTTACGATAGGAATTTATTATTCAATGTAGCTCATTTTTTAGGACTGCTTTAAAGTTGAAACCTTATGAAAGAGCGACCCCTTGTGTTAAACTCAGAGTAAAACCGTAACATATATGTTCGTCCCTTGCTTTTCCTGTAGAGGGCGATAGAAGTTCACAATTGGGAGATTCCATTGCCTTTGCTTATGGTAACCAACGTTTACCAAACAAAACCGGGCACCAATGGCGACAGACTGACTGCTTTTGAAAATAATACAGAAGTGTAATGTGACATTAATGTGAGGTAGCTAATATGAGAATAATTACTGTAAAACTCATCAATAGACCATCGGAAATACAAAGCCCATGTGGATGTGGAGTGAATGTCCTACTTGTTGATGTTGGCACAACGCGGCTCCCCACAAAGAAGTGGTAAGTATTGAGAAGATCTACTGTAAAAACCTAAACCTACCTTTGTCTATAAACTGTCCGAGTGGGAGCGGCAGCCATTTTTAAACCGATCTCCACAAGAGTATGACATCATGGGAAAGCTAAAGTTCTCTTAAAGGTGTAGTAGGACATTCACATGAATTTATATCTAAATCACAGCTAAAAGTATACATCTTTTGAGAATGAAGACGAAGTGTGGATTTCATAAGGATGTTGTTGTCAATCAGGGGGTCACTGACAAAAAATTATGGCTTCAGCCCAGAGGAGGTCTCATAGCCGTGATAGGGACACATCCCTGCCGTGACCCGGATTCGAACCGGGGTTGCTGCGGCCACAACGCAGAGTACTAACCACTATACGATCACGGCGAGCTACTGGAGGCGGTGAAAGCTGTTGGTGGAATTGGGCTCTAATACTCTTTAATGCAATAGTTAAACGCAATAGTTTTTTTTAAATGCAATAGTTTAGTATTGTATAGTATAGTTATAGTATTTTCTCAGTTTATTGTGCTGACACGCGCGCATACTACTGTTCGTAGTATGCGAGTCACTTGAGTAACTAGATAATTTACGATCATACACAACGCAGCATGTTTGCATCTTTATGGCGGCTAGTGAAAATACAGTGAACCTCTGCCGTTCATCGTTAATAATTGACATGTGCAGTGCTGGTTACGATATTTCAAGAACTAACAGGAATGACTGACACTATATGAAGTTTGAATGTTGTTTAAAAAGGTCTGTACATATGCTAGGTTAAAAAGGTTTGCTCTTGATTCAGTGTATATCTCCCATATGGTCTAGCGGTTAGGATTCCTGGTTTTCACCCAGGCGGCCCGGGTTCGACTCCCGGTATGGGAAGTAATCGTTTTCTTTTTAGTGTGAATTTTGTAATTATACGAATTATGTATGCACGATATAAGTAACGCGTTTTTTTCTTTTTCTTTAAAAAGCCATAAATAAAGCATATGCAAGCGAGTTCAGATTACACAAAACACACAGGGTGAATATTTATTACACAGCCCTTCAACTCATTTTTTGGGGAAAAAAAACAAAACATTTTTTTAACGTTATATGTGTGCTTAAATAAGCATGCACCATAAATCCTGTAAAATATGAAGTATTCACAGAATTCATACCAAACTACGCAATCTCTACGTAACAGAGCTAAGTGAAGTCATGTGACTTCATGTCACGTGACCGGAAAAAAGGTTCTCCAAAAGCGTTCAGCAGGAATACATATCTTTTCATTCTTCATTAAGACATTTATTTTCGGCTGTTTATTATTGTTCAGTTCTGCTTAGCCAGATAAAACGACAGAAATGCGTGTTGAGCAACAGCTTCGTTTGGACGAGCAGTTGCTGCTTTTCATGGACCAGCTCGAGGCTTTGGAGGAGAAACGACATCAACTTAATTCCCTTATAGAGGAGGTAAAACGTGCAATTACACTTGATTAGACTGAGCACATATTAATACTGGGAATAGAATCCAGCTTCTTCATAAATACGTTTTGTACACGAATACATTTTCATTTGTATTCTGAATATAATCCTATGAATTCTTTTAACACAGGGATGGTTTTCAATTGCCAAAGCACGTTATTCAATGGGAAATAAGCAAGTCTCTGCTCTGCAGTACGCTAGCGAGATGGAGCCGCTTGTTTATGTTGAAACCAGGTCCGTATCATTACATGCAATTAAATAACATTTGCTTGTGCATAAGACTCAGTCATTTACACAGATCCGTGTGCTTGCCTTAATAACAGTGTGTTGGAAGGTGGAACAGCTGAGTTCAAATGTGAGAGAAAAGAGAATAAAACAGAAGAACTGAAAAACACCACAATAGAAGACATTGGAGCGAAAGAGACAGGTATGTCTTTCCACAGTGCTGCTTATCTAATATTATACATGTAGGAGCCTAAACTAATCGTAGGATTTTCTGTTCATGACAACATTATTGAAAATTTCAGGTCTTAGAAGGCGTATAAATACCAAACAAAGGGGGGTTAAAGACGAGGAACAGGAGACAGATCCTCAAGTAAAAACAAAGGCAGAATTATCCACACCAGAGCACAGGGATCCTTTGAAGTGGTTTGGAATCCTTGTGCCACAAAATCTGAAACAAGCTCAGTCTGCTTTTAAGGAGGGTGAGCTATTTTGTCTTTTATATAAATTGTTTGCTTATGCTGTATTTAATTGCATCATCTCTAGGATACCGATGTTATGTGCTTTGCTGCACATTTGCTGTGTGGCCTATATTTGGCATCATTTATTTTTTATTATTCTTTTTTTGGGAAATCCTGTTGCTTGGATTCTGGGTTTATTGAACGATTAATAATTTTTTTAAACACATTTTCTTTCCCCCAGTCATCACTCTCTCAGCAGAAATTGCATTTCTACAAAGTTCAATACTTGCTACAAGAAAAGAGATGCAGGCACAGATGAAGGAGAACCAAGAAAAGACAGAGAAGACTCAACCAGAAATAAAAAAGGAATAACTGTGACCTTATTCACTTTCATCTATAATCTTTATTTATTGAAATTTTGTAGAAACCAAATATAGCTCAATTTTACGGTGTTGAATAATATCAGATGTTTGTGACGTCAAGAGATTCCTGAAAACACTCTTATTATATTAACAATGTTGTGTTCCTAATAAAAATATTTGATTCACTATATTATCTTTTTTGAGCAGTAATGCACAGCTGAATTCAGAATAATCCTAAATGTATAAAAGTACTACAACATAAATTCGATTCATTTTCAGTACAGTAGTTTTTGAGAACCTGCTCTATGTGGTTGAACATAATTTTGTCCTTTTAAATGTAAATACCCCTGCAATCATTAGTTATCAGATATTTCATGTGTCAAGTCACCTTTATTTATACAGTGCTGTTTACAATACAGATTGTGTCAAAGCAGCTTCACAGGATAGACAGGAAAAATAGAATAGGAAACTCAACTAAGGAGACAGTTCATATTCTGCTGTGAAGCAGCTCTAAAAGACAACAGTGTCATTGTTCAGATCAAGTCATTTTAGTGTTGGTTCAGGTAAAATTCAATAACAGTCTGAATTTCATTGAAATCAACGTTTATCTATATTAGTAAATAAGACAGCTATTTAAAAAAGCATTGTTCTAGCCGTTACTAAGTGGCTACATCTCATCTGTCGGATAATTAAAATGCATAGCCAAATGCATGTTCTTTTCCATTTTAAATTGAACAATTTGTTAAAGATGGGAAGTTCATTATGTGCGTTCATGAAAATGCGTATAAATAGTACGCCAAATAAAAACGAAAACTCGTGGTATTGATACGCAAAAATGGACTTTGGCGTGCATATAATACGCTGTTTTTTACGTGCATATGATACGAAATGTGTTGGCGTGCATATAATACGCCGTTTTCGCGTAAATATGATACGCACCTACCCCACAACCCTAAACCTACCCATCGCGTAGCATATACACGCCAAAGTACATTTTTGCGTATCAATACCACCAGTCTTCGTTTTTATTTGGCGTAGCCTACTATTTATACGCACTTTCATGAGATCGGGTTGGTTTTTTAAACAATGCCAAGCTACATACACTTACCTGGAAGATGGTCTCTTGAATTCAAACAATACTTAAGTCAACATTTTAAATATAGCCTAATTCTTGTCTATTTAGTATCTACCTAACTTTTCTTTACAATCCGCGCCGAAACCTCAAAAAACATAATACAAGTGTTAAACGTGCACGAGCAGTAGGCGAAGTATCAGGTGCGTCCCCGCCTCTTGTCTTTTTGAGCTATAAAATAACATTTAATCACTGCATTAAATTAACGTCCAAAACAAGAAACACACACATATCCTGTTCTTTGTTGTGGTTACTTCATTTGCTTGTATCAAACTGTAAGCGCCTCACGAATAAAATCCAAATATTCAGATGCGGAATGGTAAATAAATAAATAAATATATTCCCCATTCGCCGTCTACTTCCTGGTGTGCATCGGAAAAGAGCTGCTAGCGGATAGCGATGTTTACGGTCGGATCCGACACCGGGCATCGTATCGTTTGCGCGCTCACACAGATTTGACGGACGTCTGTTTTTATGGTTTTCCCGAGACGTGTAAGCGAGGAGATGTTTTCACAATGACAGGACGATGCGATCAGTGTCAGACCAGGTGAACACGCTCTTCTATTGTTGCTCATATCGTGGAAGATTGGAAGATCACTGATGGCGTCAAAATCTAGGGTCTCCATTCTGGATTACTTCAATATCGTCTGTGAGGGAGAAAATGGCAAAATTGAATCAAACTGCAAAGCTTGTGGCACAAGGATTCAGGCTAAACGGACAGTTACTTCTAACTTTGTTACACATTTAAAGGTAAGGGTTAATTTTTTTTATGTAACATGTTTCGTATCTAATAACATGACAAATGTGAGAGGTTTAACCATCAATGCATGCCCTCAGAGTCATGGAAATTTGAAGACTAATTGAAATGGTAATGTCCTGGTCAATAGTTCTAGAGATTAATAAAAAAATAATACAATATTTTAATAAAATGTGCAATTTCTTTAAAGTCGGTTTATGATACACAAATGACTGAAAATACCACAGAAGTTCAATATCCAGAAAGTGCAAGAACCTTTAATATTCTGCTCTTTGTGTGTGTTTAGATATGTTTACATGATTATGTGTACTGGGTTCTATATGTAATTCACCTGTATATAATTGTCACATTCACAGCGCAAACATCAGGCCATGTATGATGAGTTTGTGAGGAAGAAAGATGTGAAAAGGGAGGCAATGCAGACGTGTACTGGTCCTCCAAGTGGTCGAGTGATCTCTCAAAGTGGTGCTGGAATGAACAAGTTTGACTACAGTGACCCTCGCCAGTCCCTAATTTCAGAAGCCATCGCCAAGATGATCATCCGAGACCTGCAGCCGGCACAGATAGTGGAATATGAGGGTTTTCGTGAGCTTCTTCAGCTCCTGGAGCCCCGTTACATACCAGTACCATGCCATTATATACAACAGCAGCTCCTGCCAGCCTATGTCTCCCAAGTGCAACTAGCTGCCAAACAGGCTTTAAAAGGAGCCGAGTCCTGCAGTGTGACCCTTGACCTGTGGAGAAGCAGCTCTGTGGGTAATAACAGTGGTGCTGGGTTTTTTGGAGTGACTTGCCATTTCATTAACGCAGACTGGCACATCAGATCCGCTCTTTTGGCATGCTTACCTCTTCCAGACCACAGCAACACTCAGCAAATGCTCAGCGAGTTTGATGAGATCTCCGAGTCCCATGGCATGTCTGGCAAAGTGTTCAGAGTCGTTGCAGACTTGTCGCCCTGTGAAAACAGATCGGCTTTTCGTCTTCCTGGGTTCAGTCTCATTGGAAATGGTGGAGAAGATGAGGAAGATGGTAGCGATGAAGAGTCGAGTGCCGGGGAAGCCAAAGAAGCCATTAGTAGCAACGAGAACAACAAGTCTTTAGATCAGTGTCTTGGTCGAAGTAGGATAGACTGCTTTGCTCGATTACTAGCTCAGTGTGTTAAGGAAGGAGTTTGCGCTTCCCCTCAAATATCGGTTCCTCTAAACAAAGGAGCCCACCTGTATAACTACATAATTGCTACAGTGGCTCCTGAAAAACTTGTCCAAGTGTTCGGCTCCAGTACCTCAACAAAGTGGCAAAGACCCTCATTCACAGACAAGTGGAACGCTCAGTTAAAAATATTACGGCAAATGGTCGAGTCAATGGATTTTCTTGAAGACATTGTAGATAGAAATGACCTAGTCCTCGGTAACTTAGAAAAAGCGGAGCTACGGGAGCTGGTTGAGCTGTTGGAGCCTTTTGAGGAGGCCTCAGACATGGTCCAAGGAGACAAGCACGTGTCCATCAGCCTAGCCCTGCCCTGTGTGCTAGGTCTGCGCAAGCACCTGGCTGAGGTCGTAACTCACCAGTGCTCTGGGATTGTGATGGGATTGTCTCAAGCTCTGGACCGCAGACTGGCAGGCATTCTTGAGGACCCTCTTTATGTAACAGCCACCACCCTGGACCCACAGTTCAAGCTGTCCTGGAGCAGTGACAGCGACTGGCACAAACAGGTGCTGCTGGAAGAGGTTCGAAAGCATACTCGGCCTTTGATTCCACTAGAACATCACCCAGAGGCCCAGCCGTCACCGTCCAAACGTTGCAAGCTGTTCTCGTTCATTAAGCAGAGGCCGACCGCCCAGGCCAAGACTGTGGAGCAGGAACTGTCCACATATCTCCATGAAGAACCCACAGATGAGGATCCACTACAATACTGGAAACGCAAGTCCATCGATTTCCCCCTACTCTCACAAGTAGCCAAAAAAGTTTTTACCGTGCCAGCAACAACCACATCAGTGGACCAGATATTTAACCTGGTTAGCAAGACGCTCAGACCAGAGCAATGCCGACTTCTGCCAAAAAACCTGGACACTCTGATTTACTTGAAGGCTAACTATAGGATACTTTGGTCCTAACTGTAAAGAGAGCTTTTTCTTTGGATTTTCTTTGTACTGATATCAAACCAAACACCTCAAATGCAATATGGGGATTGTGCCATATATATATATATATATATATATATATATATATATATATACTGTACATATACCCCACAGTAAA